GACGCCCGCCGTGCCGCCCGACATCGCGACACGTGCGAATTAACCGCGACGACCGGACAGCACCATCGTTCGTCTCTCGCCCCCTTTTTCTTTATTCCTCACCCTCCGGTTCACCTCCGTTCACAAGCACCGAAAACGCACCGAGCAAATACGCACCGACTAAATGCACGCCGGCTAAAAACGCGCTGGCTAAATACGTACCGACGAAATACGCACCGACTAAATGCGCGTCGGCTAAGTGCGCACAAACTAAACGCGCATAAATCAAATGCGTATCGATTTCGTACGACAAAAATCGACTGATATCGATTACTCGAACGTGAAACTCCAAAACACGATTTCCCAAAGTTGTTCTTTCTGCACGCGATGAGACAGTTTTATCGAGTAGTGATTTTATTCGTTTAGAGTATTAATTTCATTTATTTAAATTTGTACGAATTCTGTATAATTTTGGCTTTTACACAGACGCGCGCCACCACCGACAACGAGTCAGTCCCCAGCGGCCACTCTCCGCGTGTCCGTTACGTTAACGGATCGAGTTAACAGGATTTCGTATTCTCGTTTCGCGCGAGGATCGTCATTTATCGAACTATCGACCGGCAACGATATGTTCTCGATATGTTTCGTCGATTTCGTTTGTATCTCGCGTGCAGTCAGATTCGTGACACGTTCGAGGATCGACCGTACATCGAAGCGACACTCGCTTAGTCAAGGAGAGCGAAATGTGCTCAAATCGGCGCCAATGTATGAATAGTAACGTATTATGTTCTCTCGTGATGGTTGACTCTGTAACCGGAAGAAACTCCGATACGCTTCTTTGCCCGATGTTTACATACGCCTCGGCCAATAATATACGTGCTCGACTCCGTTCGAATTTCGTAACATATACAAACGAGCGCGCTTGTCTCGTGCTTGTGTGTTTACAGTGTGTTTATATGTCACACGCGTTTAGGTGACACGTACCGGTTACCGTCGCTATTGCGATATTTACATGATTCGGATAAACGAATCTGGTCGAAAAAATACAATATACAGCAAGATGACTCGATCGATCCGATTCACCCTCGCGTCCCAATCGACTTGTTGATAATGTTCCCCTCGAATACTGTACGCTGTTCGATGCGAGCACGTGGATTACGCGGCACTCCGAATCACACGAATCTATTATTAGACACAATAGCATGCACCGCAGTTAACATGTCACAGCACCGATCTATCGATCGTTCGACTAATCGAACTGTTAATCACACATGATAGGGCGCGATTATTCGATCGAACGAAAGGTCACTTGCTTTTTTGGCTGCTCGAAACTCGCCTTGGATTGTGTAGAGACGTGGCTAAGATGTGATTATTCGTTTGCCACAGTTCACGATATACCAATAGTAGCACCACGAGCACCACGATCCTTATGTACGCTTATACTATATCGACTGTCACAGTGATAATTCCGTGATACGACCCGAAATACTACACACCCGATCACTACGGCAACGACCACGACGACGACGACACTCGAGCACACTTACGACACGTCGCGTTGTGCTCTCCATGACAGAACGCTCCCGCGGACGTCCATCTGCGATCTGGCTCGTTTAACTCGGCCTCTATGCCGTCCGTAGCGCTCACTCTCGCTCGATCGACCGTAGCACGCCCTCTTGGGTACGAGGCTACGCCAGCGCCAAACTAGTCCCCCATTCGTCCTCTGGAACATAGCGCCACGGCGTAAGAATTTCAACTAATCATCTCGCCGTTATTCTTTTATTCCATTTTCGTCGAATTTTCTTGATCACGACCCTCTTACATAATAATTCACCAACTAATAATATTAGTAAACTATCAAGTTGCAGGTTATAAATTATATACTTCTCCTTTTTGCATCGAATAGGACTCAAATTTGCACTCAAATAATTTGTAACTTGTAAAATTTGATTACAAAATTTCATTTGCGTCATTTATTAAACTTGTTATTGTTATGCAAGAGAATTTACTAATACTTATAATCTGCAACTTGTGAATTGTAAGATTTAAAATAAACGATAAATATTATAAAAACATCAAAATTAAATATAATTCATTGACAATTGATATCGCTTGCAAGAAATTAAACAATGTATATTATCAAACACATTAAGGTATGAATAATAGATTCAACAATTGAATTAATGTAACAATTGAAATCATACTAAATTTAAGGCAAAGATTTATACATCTTAGCTATAAAGAATTTCATAAGACTTGATTTTAAAAAAGATACGTATGTATCCCTGATATGATCTATCGCAATTTGTATTTAAATATATTATTCGTATAAAATATAATGTACAGATATAAATATAGAGTGACAAGATAAAAGATATATCTGCAATTTTATTTTATAATTAGGTATACTAGGAAAGTCACATTTCACAAAATACCACACACTATCCGAATGATATATATTTCGTGAAATGTAGTTTTGCTAGGAATGACCTAATAATTATAAGTACCTTCTTAGCGGATGATATCTCCTTTACTTTCCAAACGTAATCAAATATTGAAGTAAATGAAGAAATATGACTTTACAAAGAAGCACGTTTGAACAAACTTAAGTTGCAAACTACGGCTTGACTCATGCGAATGCTTAAATTGAATCAGCTGATTTTTACATCCGGTTCAATGTTCGAGATTTCTTTTCCGGTTCATCCAGACCAACGTTCCAGTGTTTGGAAGTCTGATTGTAAAGATGGTAGATGAAGCTGGTGACAGGTTCGTAGGCTAAATTATTTTCGGCTTTTTATACAAAACTTGATACTTCTAACTAACACTAATATACATACCGTAATATAATATAATAATGTAATAATTAATTTTGAAATGAAATTAACCTCGAATCTACTCCCTGGAATTCAGGAGTTTAATCTTTCATAATCTCTGCTACAAGTCCGTGAATGTTTTACTAATCCGTAAATTTCCATTTCAAGACAAAATTAAAGATGATTTCATTATAAAGATTCATTATTTTTATGTACTATGTTCATTTTTTTCCCTACACTTTTTTTTTGTCTCCTGTCAGTCTCAGTAACATTTTTGAATCATTAAAATGTATATTAATTTGACAAATATTGTTAGAATCCAATAAAATATTATTTAGACATATAACATTAAGGATAATGTTATTGTTTCTGTTATAAATGTGTTTGTATTCAAACAAATAAAGCGTTGATCACCTCCAAACAACATCTTACATAACACATAAAAGAATTAAGTTGTAAGAAGGATCATACTGTTTGATTTAAATTACACAATTGATATATAAAAATACATTTTTAACTTGTACAATTTATATGTTTTATTGTGTATGTATAAATTATAATATAATATTATTTTGAAATGATGGAATTATATTTATATCTAAATGTAATTGCAATTTATATAATTTATGTAAAGTATTTATTTGACAATTAGGTACGGATTTCTTACAGGGATGATTCCTCAAATGTTGCCATCATCAAAGAGGTATACGATAATGAAAATGCACATGAGACATTTGAATATGAACTAGAAAGAGCATTAGAATCTGAATGCAGTTTAATTGTTATTGAGCCATCTAAATTAGGTGATGAAACCTCCAGGTGGATAGCAGTAGGAAATTGTCTTCATAAGACTGCAGCATTGTCTGGTCTTGCTGCCATAACTACAGGTTTTTAAAACTTATGTTTCATATTATATATGTATATATTATTGAAATATTATTCTTTATACAAAGTATGTTATTATATATTTCACAGGTTTGATTTGGGGTGACCAGCCCTATATTTGTGGTCCATTAGGTTTTATATCTGTAATATCCTGTGGACTTTATACTGTTTCTTGGCAGTTTGACCCCTGCTGCCAATATCAAGTAGAGACTGACACGAGCAAATTGCCGCATGTAGAATTGTTAGCAGTTCTAGGACCATCGTCTCCAACATTTCTCGTAAGAAAAGATGATACAAGAAGAAGAATTCTTCACACGACTATTACATTGGTAGCTCTCAGCATCAGTGCTTGGAGAGTTTATCAGGCATTTAAATGAAATGTTCTGCCAAGAAAGAAAAAAATCTGAGTTTTAAAAAAGAGTAAGGTAGGCCATACGATATATTGTAAAAGATCGTAATAAGGCCTAGCATAGAAATCTGTGAATTACAATTTCATGTAAATTAGTGGGGATTGTTGAGTCACGCAAATCTATTTTTGTTTGATGTTTATATTTCTTTTATGTTTTGACACTACCTCACAGGTGGATGCTGATTTTACAATAAAAGAGAAAATATCTAATAAAACAGACTAAAAAAAAGCCTGTTCTAAAACCACTTTGAATCTAAAACATGATACTTCTTAAGGCTCCACATTGTTACTCTATGATCTTCATCTTGTTGATTATATCACAGTTAATATTAACACAAGAAAGACACAATCATATTCATGCAATCACTTATGTGATATAGCTACTAATATAAGTGTTCTTAGATTTATGCAAAATTGCAAACGTACACCTGAAAGGTTGGACTTGAACTATATATTTTTAGAGTGTAAATAAAGTAGATAGAATACACTGCATATGATGTATTAAAGAGAATGTTGCCTAGATTTTCTCACCCAGTGATATAGTCCACTATGCAAAAGATATTAATATTCGGAAAAGCCATTCTTGAAAATATCTAAAAAAAATTTGTCCTAGTATTATTTGGCAAACATCTTAATCAACATAATACACAAAACTTTTGTTAATTACATAAGACTCTTATCATGCTATATACAAACATATGGGATATCAAGTTAAACGTCACAAACATTTCTGTAAGTGAATGATAATAATAAATATTACATCACGTAATATAAGAAATTTTTAGATACATTTTAAGTTGAGTAATGTGTCAAATAATTCTTGCAAATTACTTGTAAATATAAACAAAATATACCAACATCTAAGATTTTATGACTACATAACAGATATAACACAAAATTGTTATTTACATATTTACATGATATGTAAGGAAATCTAATTGCATTAGACAAATCTTGAGTACTGTATATCTACTTTTCTTTAACATAAACAAAATGTAAAGTTTATTTCAATCAGTGTATAATTTCTAATATTCATCTACATTTTTTCAATATTTAAAAAAATCTATAATATGAGGTAAAAATTAAAAAAAAAAAAAGAAAATAAAATCAGCAGGCCAATACATTTTATGTAGAATTTAAGAGTTTAACTATCTTTGCATAATATCATTTACCAATAAATCCAATATAAAATATAGTTATTACATATGGCGTGCATTTTATGCACAATACAAACATATAATGCTTCATTATGTTAATATGAAAAAGTACGTGTTCGTATTTTTTTTACAATTAGGTTAACGTCAATTAGAATCTTTTTATGTAAATTAAAATTTACAGAAAATCGCTGATGATACATAACAAAAACTTAAATAAGTGTTGATAATCCTGCCATGACAGCAAAGTTCGTACCAATTGCTGTACATTATATGTCATACTTTGAATGTCTCAGTTATTAGCCAAATATTTGTTATGATACAACTTATAATATTTTATAGTTGTAACATACAAGAGAATATGCAATAAAATATCTACTATGGATAAAGATACATTTGACGAATGGTGTGTTAGGTAAATTTATTGTTCTGTAATTTGTAGCTTAAAAGGTCTCTACTTCTCTGCATTTTCAAGCATTTATTTTTCTACGTGAAATTTATGCAAGTATCTTTACTTTCTGTATATGTCTATATTTTACAGCTTTTATTATATTTATAAAACATAATTTCTGTAATTACTTATCTTTATATATTCCATGACTTTTCAAGTTTTAGATGACATATATTTTAATGTGCTTCAGTCTAAATTCCATTAACACGTTTGTAGTATTAAAATGTATATAATGTAAACATATTCCACCAATGACTGGCATTATAATAAAATATAATTTGGATATAATTTTGTCCAATGCATTTCATAAAATTATTCTCTTTTCAAGATTGCCATCAACTTGGTATAAAATTAAATCTATTACAACGTATATTTCATTTTAGTTACAACATAATAATAAAAGATAGTATAAATATAAAGATAGAGACTAAATGTTTTTATAAATAACAAGAAACAAATAATTGTCCCTTTATTATAAGCATATATTAAGTATTATGATTCTTTTGCCTTTTTAGCTCGTTTTTGCATTATCCAGAAATACAATGATGGACATAAAGTGCGTAAATATACTGCACATTTTGGAATAAATGGTGCAATAAACACATCTTTCTCTTCTTTCAATACTGCTTTTAAAATACGATCTGCTACATATTCTGGAGAATATCCCTCTTGTGTGTTTTTATCCATTACTGTAATTGCATTGATGTTTACAATTACATTTTATTAAGATTAATTAAGTTTCTAGTTTACAAACCTCCATAAATTTTCCCATTTCCTGTTAATGCATTCTGTGAAAGAGAGGTTCTTATATAACCAGGACTAACAGTTGTAACTTTTATATTTTGGTCATACATTTCTGCTCTACAACAATCGCACCAGGCTTGTAATGCATATTTAGAAGCTGCATATGCTGACCTGTCATATTAATAATGGTAATTAAAATTTTTTAGGAATTGCTTTCAAATTTAAATATAAAATATCCTAACCTGTATGGTATTGAAATTTTTCCCTGTATGCTACTAACACATATTATATGACCTGACTTTTGCTGGATCATATATGGGAGGACAGCTGTGGGACACAGTAGACATTTTGATAAAGAATCAACAAATTTCATTGGAATAAGATTAAATAATTACCTTTTGTCAAAGCAATTTGAGCAAAGTAATTTGTAAGCATTACTTTTATATCTACATCCATATTTGTATTAACAACTTCACCTCTATAAGAAATGCCAGCATTATTAATCAAAATATCAATCTTTCCATGGATATCTATCATTTTTGAAACTTCAGTTTGTAGAGAATTGATATTAGTTAGATCTAATGGTACAATTACTGGAGGATGAGTTGGTATTGTCTAAAATAAAGTCAAATGGTTTACAATGAATTTTAAAAAAAATTTTTGTCAATGGATACATACAACATGAATATTCATTAGATCATTTTTCACTCTTTGCAATTCCTCCTTTCTTCTAGAAATTAAAATAAGTTTACAGCCACAGTCATAGAAAATATGCGCTAATGCCTCTCCTAATCCAGAACTGGCTCCAGTTATTATCACAACCTAAAATGTCAATTGAAATATAGGAGGTGATTATTTGCAAAATTTACAAAATACAAATTCAAATGAGATATAATCTACCTTCCCACTTAACATACTTTTTCTTCTTTTTCGTTGCATTATATCAAAGAAATGATATATCAACCATGGGATAGTAATTGGAAATCCAAATAATGTAAATAACCACCATATAAGATGCCAACCTTTTAATGTTTCTTCCTTCATGATTCCAAATATTTGTATATAATTACAGAAAAATCAAGAACTTTCAATAAGGGGTGTTAACATTTGAAACATACAGAATTAAAATGATAACTTATGTATTACGTTATAAACCTTAACCTCTATGCTCCTGAACTTTGACCAAACACATGGAAACCATACATTATATAGAATAATATCTGATAATATGAATTTGGTCATAATATACCACAAATAACATAGAATGTAGATGTAACAGTCGTAGTTGAATATGTATTCGCAAAGATTCTTATCATTTCAATGTAGCATTCAATATTATCGATTGACAGTTATACACGTTGCATTCATATGCATGTCTTTGTAATTTTTTATTAGTTTGATAAATAACAATAATTGTAAGACTTGTTCCAAATGATTTTGTCTATAAAAGGATTGCAATTAATCTTAATGAATAAAATAGATATCTATTTTTTAAGGAAATTTTTGTTGCCTCCAATTATTAAATATCTATATCGCTCCAAAAATTAAGGAATTCTGAAAACATAAATTTAGACTTTAATAACTAAAATTTAGGCTTTAATATCTATTCATTTATTGTAACATCACAAAATTGTTGAAGACTGTTTTAAAAAGTTTACGTACATTGACGACGATGTTCTATTACACAAAAGCAGATATAGCATTTATATACTGTTTCAATTTGTCTTTTAATTTCTATATTAACGCTAACACATAAAAATATTTATCTTAAATATAGTTCTTAGCTTGTACCAATTTCCAAAATATAATCGATTTGGAAAGTGATATCAATTATCAGATCTAACCATGGAGAAGAACTCCACTCGATGATTTATTTAAATGATTACCAAACGAATAATGTTATAAATTATAATGGAAATTAAATAGTTGATTCCATTTTATTCTAGACCCATATTTTGCTTTATCAATGCTCTTATCTTAATCCATTAAACATGTTGTACTTCCAGGAACAGGACGGAAAGTATCGCGAGACTTGAAAAAAAGCAAAAGTAGAAAAGGAAACATTGAAGTCTGTATTTGTTTGAATCTAAGAAAGCGGCTCTACTCTAGACGGTGGTTGATGATTGGTCAGAGTAAACGCGCCCATGTCAGCTGTGTGACACAGAGTCGCTAGTCGTCCGTCGTAGACGCGGATTCGTGCAAATGGCGTCACTGGCAGTATGAGCGAGCGTATGCCGTCTAATAACGCGTACGGGCCTCGTCCGGGCGCGGCGCCGCGCGGCCCAGC